TTGGAGTGAAACTTTCATCTTACATATCCTCAGTGCCTAATTTAGCATATGGATCTCCCTAAAGACTCCCACATCAGCCAAATAAATAAAATACTGATGTGTTGCCTTATCTCTTACTGTATATTAATAAGTATTACAAACCTTTTTTGAGGAAAAGAGGCTTCTAGGATTTTTTTTCAGAGTTTAGTTTTCAAACTTTATAAACACCAGAGATAAATTTAAATTCCTGTTTGTAATTATTAATCAAAGTAAATGCATAAATCCACAAAAAGAATAATTCAAGATTAAAAGAAAAGTAATGAAATTGAAATCCAAGAAACAATAGAGACAAACAAAAACCTCAAAATGCTTTGAAAATAGTTATAAGTACACAAATCCCTGTTATTATAGATTTAGATAAAAACAGAGAAGAAGCATAGAGAACCAAAAAAGGAAGATAGCAATGTAAAAGAAGGGATTTTAGACTTTATGTGATAATTAGCAACCTTATACACATAATTTGAAAATATAAATTAAATGGATGGTCTTCATAAATAATATAAAGAACCAAAATTAATGTAAAAAGAATAAAAAAACCAAATAGAGCAATAACTATTAAGAACTTGAAATAGAGTCCAAAATCTCCCTTTTCCCTGATGGACACTAGGCTTAGATGGTTATACAGGTGAATTTTAGCAAACTCTAAAAAAAAAAAAAAAATCATAACAGGAAAAGGAGGGAAAATAACTCAACTTATTTTATTAATCTGGCTTAAAACAATAGCAAAACTTGGACAAGGAAAGTAGAGGAAAAGAAAATTATAAGCCAGTTTCACTAGTGAGCAAAAATAAAAAAAAAACCATAGCAAATTGATTCTAGGAATTTATATTAAAATGCAGTATAACTTAAACACAGCTTATTTTAGCGAAGAAAGATTGGATTAACTTTTAAAATCTACCAATTTATTTAATTTTAAAAATTAAGGATGACAAGCCATATGATTTTTCTCAATAAAAGTTGCAAAAACTTTTAATCAAAATCTTATTATAGAAACAGAAAACTAGGATAGGGTGGAACTCCTTTAATCTAATCTAGCATAGATCTACCTATATGCTGTATAACCTATAGTATATGTCATATTAAATTTTTTAAATGTTTGAAATTAAGTTGGGAACAATACAGGAAGCCTGCCGTCATCACTGTTATTTAGTTTTGTTCTGGCACCTCTAGCCAATGCAATTAGGCAAGAAAAGAATAAATCAGAAGTATAGGAATAAGAAAGGAAGAAAAAAACATAATTATCTTTATTCACAGCTTGTTTGTCTGCATAGAAAATGTACAAACTGTTAGAACCAACAAGAAGGTAAGATATGATCTTGGGATGATCAAGAACAGCTTGGGATGTTTCTAATTTGTGTTATCTTTTGTATTGTTAGTTTACATTCTGGTTTGCCAGTGTGCATGTAAATAAGTCCCATGCATGAAATGTAAAAAGAGCCAAAATTCACGTATTCGTGACTGATGCCAATTTGTCTGCGATAAAAGTTTGTATACTTTCCTGATTAAACTGTTCTGTGTATTTTCAATGGCTATGTTAATCTGGATTTCACAGTTTGACTTGCGTTTTGTCTTTGCAATTGTGTGGCCATAAAAGTGAGTTGACTTCATTTACTATGAATTACCTAATTAAATGAAGAAAGAACATGTGACAGGCAGGGAAGTTTGGTGTCCTAAAGATGGCAGACCTTCTAAAATCAACCCATAAATTAGGTGCAGTTCCTATCAGAATCTCAGAGAGCTTTTTTTAAAACTAAGCTGCTCCCATAATTCATATAGAACAGTAAAGATCCCAAAATAGCCAAGTGAATTTTGGAGTGCATCTAGTAAGTGGGATGCTCTCTACCAGATATTAATTTTGAAACCATAATAATTAAAGTAGTGTGGTAAACTAATAATACACTATATGTTAACTAACTTGAATTTAAATAAAATCTAAAAAAAAATAAAGTGGTGTGGTATTAGTATAGAGATAATCAAATACATCAGGGGAACAGAATAATAAGCCCAGAAACAGACCCATGAATATTGGAAGTTGATTTATCACAGAAATGATGTTATTTAAATTGGCTGGACAAGGATGGACAACTATTCAATAAAAGCTACATGTACCACTGGACGTCCGTGTGAAAAAAGATGAGGAACGGTATGAGACCCTGCCTCATACAAGGTCTGAAAGCAAATTCCATATAGACTTGAGACTTAAATTTGAAAAGTAGAATGACAAAAAACATAAAGAAAATATAGACCATTAAGGAAAATATTAAAACTAAAAAGGTCTGTGCATCAGCAAAATACTTTTACATAATATCCCCATAGTAAATGAAGTCAACTCACTTTATGGCCACACAATTGCAAAGACAAAACATAAAAGATGAGCCACTGGTTGGGTAAAGATATATACCAAGTGTGTGATCAAGCAAGGGTTACTGTACAGAATATTATGAATAGCTACAGGATAATAAATAAGAGGCAGAGTATTCAGTAGGAAAATAGGCAAAGAATCTGGTCCAGGGAAGCTAATAGCAAGGTCACTTTCTTCTGCCCCTTTCTTCCCTGCCTCTGCTACCTCTATTCCTCAGAGGCTGAAGTTTTAATAATTTGATTTTAATTTTTCTGGTGGTTACATCCATGTCACCAAGCAATAGGACTGTATTACCATTTCTTGATGTATCCTCTTGCTCATTTATCCTTGACTTTCTGTTTGCTAGATGATAGACCGTATGTTGTCTTTACTTTCACTGTTGGTTACCTCCATAACATGAATACTGTACTTAAATCTCAATTTATTAATCCATCAACTACAGGCATTATATCTTCACACCTAATATTGTAAAATGAGTGAATTAGTTTGGTCTCTTAATTTGAAAAATTGTGTAAAATAATAAATAATTTATTGCTTGGTTGGCAGCGTTTGTATCCCCAAATGTGGGGAGGTATTCAACAGAGATGTCTTTGGTCAGGAATAAGACGCATTTGAGTGTTTGCAGAAAATGGAAACAGTTCATGGTAATTTATTCTAGGTTACTGTGCTATTTCCTCCCCCCTTGCCTTGCTGTGAATTAATTATGTTATCACTGTAAGTTTTTCATACTGTAGGAAGCTAAAAACATTGCCTTCTTCCCGTATCCGGCAGCTTGGGATGTTTCTAATTTGTGTTATCTTTTGTATTGTTAGTTTACATTCTGGTTTGCCAGTGTGCATGTAAATAAGTCCCATGCACGAAATGTAAAAAGAGCCAAAATTCACGTATTCATGACTGATGCCAATTTGTCTGCGATATAAGTTTGTATACTTTCCTGATTAAACTGTTCTGTGTATTTTCAATGGCTATGTTAATCTGGATTTCACAGTTTGACTTGCGTTTTGTCTTTGCAATTGTGTGGCCATAAAAGTGAGTTGACTTCATTTACTATGGGGATATTATGTTAGGATTTTGGTTTTTTTTGTGTACCCTGTGGGAAGGAGCACACCCTGCGGCATTTCCTGGTGGAAGCAGGTTTTGCAGGGCAGAAGGAGTAGTGCTGACCAAATGTGGAAGCCTGATGAATGTTCAGAAGGGTCTGGAAAAAGCAAACAGTGAGGTCCACTCGAGATAGCAACCCCAGCCAGTCTGCCTGGTTCCGGAGGGGCATCAGCTTTGCCTGTGACAGGTGGGAAGAACTCTGAGCAGTCGGATCTGCTGCGCATTATCCCATCACATGGGCCCCGCTACTCCAACATTTTTTGTCTAAGTTTCTGAATGATCTTGTTTGCTAACCTTAAAATATTTGATCGGAATTCAGATATTAGTTCACAATTAAACAGAAAAAAAGTGGGCTATTTTCATTTATACCATTTAAATTTCAGGAGGCATTTGTTTTCCAGCTTGTCTTTAAATATTTTATTTTATTTATTTGTCAGAGAGAGAGAGAGAACAAGCAGGGGGAATGGCAGGCAGAGGGAGAATCAGGCTCCCCAATGAGCAAGGACCCCCCGATGCAGGACTCTGGGATCATGACCTGAGCCGAAGGCAGACGCTTAACTGACTGAGCCACCCAGGCATCCCTTCCAGCTTGTCTTTAGATTTATATATAATTGTATTATTTTCCCTGCCCAGTTGCACTCAGTATCACCAGTATGTATCAGGTGAGGCAGGGTAGGTGTGCAGGGGTTTGCCTGTGAAAAGGATCTGGTTTGTTCATTCACCCAACCCGTGTTTTCACTTGAAGGAGCCTCTGAGCGAGAACACAGGTGTTAAGGATGCAAGGACAAATGAGAGTCTGGAGCTAGTGGTCTGCTGAACAAGAATGGCAACAAGTAAATAATTCCAAGCGTCAAGAGTGCTCAGAGGCAGCCAAATGGGGTGTCGTGACACCATAGAATGCCCAGTGGCAGAGGCAAAAAAGCCAAGATGACAACAGCTGGTTGTGTTTTAAAGAACTGCAAAAGGTGCACCCATGAACTTTTGCAGCTGCTCTCTGCCCTGAACTGTTCTAGGTAACAATTAGAACTTAGTGTTACCACCACCCCCAATCTATCTTTCCTGCCGGCCCCCAGATCTTGGCTCAGTTCCCTGGTTCTGGTACCCCTTTGTTAAGAGCACCTCTTCCTGATGTTCTGGGTGTCAGACCTGGTTTTCTAGAACTCTGACTCCCGACGCTAATCCTCATATTTCCGTTCCTGGCCTGTAACCTAACCGCAATCCACTGATTGGTGTACAGGTACCATGGGCGGATGTGTCGCTATCACAGCCCTTGTAAAGTCTATGTTACTCATTGCTTGGGTTCAAACATGAGTTAAGTGAAGTCCCAGCATCAAGCAGCTTACAGTCTGTTAGGAGGGATCACACAGACAAATTGTAATTCTAATCAGAAGTTATAAATTACAAACAAAATGGGTTTCCATGAGAGTATAAAAATAACCACTGTGGATGTCCTCAACTAACTGTTCTTTCAGAGTGTCATGAAAATCTCTTTATCCAGAAGGAAAGATGGCGGAGGAGTAGGGGACCCTATTTCAACTGGTCCCCGGAATTGAGCTGAGTATCTACCAGACCACTCTGAGCACCCACGACCAGCCTGAGATGTAAGAAGATCTGGATCTCTACAAACAGAGTATCGCAGGCGGTTGGTTTCGAGGTTCGAAGCAGGGAGCCGTGATTCCACGGGCAGATATCGGAGGATAAACGGCAGTGGGAGGGTGCCTGGCCGTGGGGATCCTACACCGCCGGTGAGCAACAGCCTCGTGCGCTGGGGACGGGGCACAGACTCTCAGACCATAGCAGCAGGGAAAGGTCTTTAGGGCAGCCCCCGGGGCGGAAACCTGGAGCGGCGGGGTCGCCCATGAGATCTGGGGGCGGCTGGCGGTTTAAGAAGCACAAAGGGCAGAGACAGGCCTGACCTGGAGGCAGGACTGGGAGCGCCGTGGAGGGGCGCACAACCCAGGCCGCTGCAGTTTATAGCAGCACAGACAGAAACGGAGATGGTGTGGCCTGGAGAGCTCACTGAAGAACAGACTGAGGTCTCTCTGCTCTGAGGCAGAGGGTTGGAAACGGTCTCTTCTGCTCTGACTTGCAGAAGAGACACGGAAAGCCACCAGAGAACAAAAGCCCCCAAAACGGATTCCCGCTGAGCCCATCCCCCGCCACAGGGGGCAGGGCAACTCCGCCCGAACAGGGTTGCCTGAGTAACAGCGTGGCAGGCCCCTCCCACAGAAGACAAGAGGCCAGCAACCCTAAGGTCCCAAGAAAACAGGTGCATCTTGCTTGGGTTCTGGTCAATAATTTGGACTCTATACATTCCCTCAAACACCCATCAACAGAATGACTAGGAGGAGAAGCCCCCAAAATAGAAAAGACTCAGAGATTATGACTTATGCTGTAGATTTACAAATGGATGCAGATGTAACCAAGATGTCGGAGATGGAATTCAGACTAGCAATTGTGAAGACAATGGCTAGAATGGAGAAATCAATTAATGACAACATGGAGTCTCTAAGGGCAGAAATGAAAGGTGAATTGGCAGAACTTAAAAATGCTATCCATGAGATCCAATCCAATCAAGATAATCTAACAGCTAGGGTAAGTGAGGCAGAAGAAGGAATAAGCGACCTGGAAGACAATATAATAGATAAAAAGGGAAAAGAGGAGGCCAGGGAAAAACAACTCAGAATCCATGAAAATAGAATCAGAGAAATAAGTGACACCATGAAGCGTTCCAATGTCAGAATAATTGGAATCCCGGAGGGAGTGGAGAGAGAGAGGACTAGAAGATGTATTTGAGCAAATCGTAGCTGAGAACTTCCCTAATCTGGGGAATGAAACAAATATTCGCGTCCTGGAGGCAGAGAGGACCCCTCCCAAGATCAAGGAAAACAGGCCAACACCCTGGCATGTAATAGTAAAACTTGCAAATCTTAGAACCAAGGAAACCATCTTAAGGGCAGTTAGAGGGAAGAGATTCCTTACGTACAAAGGGAGGAATATGAGAAGAACGTCAGACCTATCCACAGAGACCTGGCAAGCCAGAAAGGCCTGGCAAGACATATTCAGGGTACTGAATGAGAAGAACATGCACACAAGAATACTTTATCTGGCAAGGCTGTCATTTAGATGGATGGAGAGATGCAGAGCTTCCATGACTGGCAGAAACTGAAAGAATATGTGACCACTAGGCTGGCCTTGCAAGAAATATTAAGGGGGGTTCTATAAAAGCAGAAAGACCCCAAGAATGATCTACAACAGAAATTTACAGGGACAATCTATAAAAACAATGTCTTCACAGGCAAAATGATGACAGTTAATTCATATCTTTCAATAATCACTCTTAACATGAATGGCCTAACCGCTCCCATAAAACGGCACAGTGTTGCAGATTGGATAAAAAGACAGGACCCATCCATATGCTGTCTTCAAGAGACTCATTTTGAACCTAAAGATACATCCAGACTGAAAGTGAAGGGATGGAGATCCATCTTCCATGCCAGCGGACCTTCAAAAGAAAGCTGGGGTAGCAATTCTTATATCAGACAAATTAGATTTTAAACTAAAGTCTGTGATTAGAGACACAGAAGGACACTATATCATTCTTAAAAGGTCTATCCAACAAGAAGATCTAACAATTGTAAATATCTATGCCCCCAACATGGGAGCAGCCATCTACATAAGCCAACTGTTAACCAAACTAAAGAGTCATATTGATAACAATACGTTAATTGTAGGAGACCTCAATAGTCCACTCTCAGCAATGGACAGATCATCTAAGCAGAAAATCAACAAGGAAACAAGAGCTTTGAATGATACATTGGACCAGATGGACCTCATAGATATTTACAGAACATTCCACCCTAAAACAACAGAATAGTCCTTCTTCTCAAGCGCGCATGGAACTTTCTTCAGAATAGACCACATACTAGGTCACAGATCAGGTCTCAACCGATACCAAAAGATTGAGATTATTCCCTGCATATTCTCAGACCACAATGCTTTAAAACTGGAACTCAATCACAAGAAAAAATTTGGCAGAAATTCAGACACTTGGAAGCTAAAGACCACTCTGCTCAAGAATGTTTGGGTCATGGGGGACCTGGGTGGCTCAGTCGTTAAGCGTCTGCCTTCGGCTCAGGTCATGATCCCAGGGTCCTGGGATCAAGCCCCACATCGGACTCCCTGCTCCGCGGGAAGCCTGCTTCTCCCTCTCCCACTCTCCCTGCTTGTGTTCCCTCTCTCGCGGTGTCTCTCTCTGTCAAATAAATAAATGAAATCTTTAAAAAAAAAAAAAGAATGTTTGGGTCAACCAGGAAATCAAAGAAGAACTTAAACAATTCATGGAAATCAATGAGAATGAAAACACATCGGTCCAAAACCTATGGGATACTGCAGAGGCGGTCCTAAGGGGGAAATACGTAGCCATCCAAGCCTCACTCAAAAAAATAGAAAAATCCCAAATTCACCAACTAACTCTACACCTTAAAGAACTAGAGAAAAAGCAACAAACGATGCCTAAGCCACGCATTAGAAGAGAAATAATTAAAATTAGAGCAGAAATCAATGAATTAGAAACCAGAAACACAGTAGATCAGATCAACAAAACTAGAAGTTGGTTCTTTGAAAGAATTAATAAGATTGATACACCACTGGCCAGCCTTATCCAAAAGAAAAGAGAAAGGACCCAAATTAATAAAATTATGAATGAAAGGGGAGAGATCACGACTAACACCAAGGAAATAGAAACAATTATTAGAAATTATTATCAACAACTCTATGCCAATAAACTGAGCAATCTGGATGAAATGGAGGCCTTCCTGGAAACCTATAAGCTGCCAAGACTGAAACAGGAAGAAATTGACAACATGAATAGGCCAGTAACCAGTAACGAGATTGAAGTAGTGATCAAAACCCTCCGAAGAAACAAGAGTCCAGGGCCTGATGGATTCCCTGGGGAATTCTCCAAACATTAAAAGAAGAAATAATACCTATTCTACTGAAGCTGTTTCAAGAAATAGAAACAGAAGGAAAACTTCCAAACTCATTCTATGAAGCCAGCATTACCTTAATCCCCCAAGCAGGCAAAGACCCCATCAAAAAGGAGAATTTCAGACCGATATCCCTGATGAATATGGATTCCAAAATCCTCAACAAAATCCTAGCTAATAGGATCCAACAATACATTAAAAGGATCATCCACCACGACCAAGTGGGATTTATCCCCGGGATGCAAGGGTGGTTCAACACTCACAAATCAATCACTGTGATAGAACACATTAATAGGAGGACAGAGAAGAACCACATGGTCCTCTCAATTGATGCAGAAAAAGCATTCGACAAAATACAACATCTTTTCCTGATTAAAACTCTTCAGAGTATAGGGATAGAGGGAACAATACTCAGGCTCATAAAATCCACCTATGAAAAACCCACAGCGAATATCATCCTCAATGGGGAAAAGCTTGAGAGCCTTTCCCTTAAGATCAGGAACACGTCAAGGATGCCCACTCTCGCCACTATTCAACATAGTACTAGAAGTCCTAGCAATAGCAATCAGACAACAAAAAGAAATAAAAGGTATTCAGATTGGCAAAGAAGAAGTCAAACTCTCTCTTTTCACAGACGACATGATACTTTATGTGGAAAACCCAGAAGACTCCACCCCCAAGTTAGTAGAACTCATCCAGCAATTCAATAATGTGGCAGGATACAAAATCAATGCACAGAAATCAGTTGCTTTCTTATACACTAACAACGCAACTGTAGAAAGAGAAATTAGAGAAACGATTCCATTTACAATAGCACCAAAAACCATAAGATACCTCAGAATAAACCTAACCAAAGAGGTAAAGGATCTATACTCTAGGAACTACAAAACAGTAATGAAAGAAATTGAAGAAGACACAAAAAGATGGAAAAATATTCCATGCTCATGGATTGGAAGAATAAACATTGTTAAAATGTCTATGCTAGCCAGAGCAATCTATACCTTCAATGCCATCCCGATCAAAATTCCAATGACATTTTTCAAAGTGCTAGAACAAACAATCCTAAAATTTGTATGGAATCAGAAAAGACCCCGAATCACCAAGGAGATGTTGAAAAAGAAAAACAAAGCTGGGGGCATCACGTTGCCCGATTTCAAGCTATATTACAAAGCTGTGATCACCAAGACAGCATGGTACTGGCACAAAAACAGACATATAGACCAATGGAACAGAATAGAGAACCCAGATATGAACCCTCAACTCTATGGTCAAATAATCTTTGACAAAGCAGGAAAAAACATGCAATGGGAAAAAGACAGTCTCTTCAATAAATGGTGCTGGGAAAATTGGACAGCCACATGCAGAAGAATGAAACTCGACCATTCTCTAATACCATTCACAAAGATAAACTCAAAGTGGATGAAAGACCTCAATGTGAGACAGGAATCCATCAAAATCCTAGAGGAGAACATAGGCAGTAACCTCTTTGACATCGGCCACAGCAACTTCTTTCAAGATACATCTCCAAAACTTAGTGAAACAAAAGCAAAAATGAACTTTTGGGACTTCATCAAGATAAAAAGCTTCTGCACAGCAAAGGAAACAGTCAACAAAGCAGAGATGGAACCCACAGAATGGGAGAAGATATTTGCAAATGACACTACAGATAAAGGGCTGGTATCCAAGATCTATGAAGAACTTCTCAAACTCAACACCCCAAAAACAAATAATCAAGTCAAAAAGTGGGCAGAAGATATGAAAAGACATTTCTCTGAAGAAGACATACAAATGGCTAACAGACACATGAAAAAATGTTCATCATCATTAGCCATCAGGGAAATCCAAATCAAAACCACATTGAGATACCACCTTACACCAGTTAGAATGGCAAAAATGGACTGGGAAAGAAACAGGAAATGTTGGAGAGGTTGTGGAGAAAGGGGAACCCTCTTACACTGTTGGTGGGAATGCAAGTTGGTACAGCCACTTTGGAAAACAGTGTGGAAGTTCCTCAAAAATTTAAAAATAGAGCTACTCTATGACCCAGCAATTGCACTCCTGGGTATTTACCCCAAAGACACAGATGTAGTGAAAAGAGGGCCATATGCACCCCAATGTTCATAGCAGCAATGTCTGCAATAGCCAAACTGTGGAAAGAGCCGAGATGCCTTTCAACAGATGAATGGATAAAGAAGATGTGGTCCGTATATACAATGGAATATTACTCAGCCATCAGAAAGGATTAATACCCAACTTTTACATCAACATGGATGGGACTGGAGGAGATTATGCTAAGTGAAACAAGTCAAACAGAGAAAGTCGATTATCATATGGTTTCACTTATTTGTGGAACATAAGGAATAGCATGGAGAACATTAGGAGAAGAAAGGGAAAAATGAGGGGGAGGGAATTGGAGGGAGAGATGGACCATGAGAGACTATGGACTCTGAAAAACAAACAGGGTTTTAGAGGGGGCGGGGGAGGGGGGATTGGTTAGCCTGGTGATGGGTATTAAGGAGGGCACATACTGCATGGAGCACTGGGTGTTATACGAAAACAATGGATCGTGGATCACCACATCAAAAACCAATGATGTATTGTATGGTGACTAACATAACATAATAAAATTAAAAAAAAAAAAGAAAATCTCTTTATCGACTTGAAAATTTCCTATAAACGGTTGCAAAATTGGTGTGTTCCCTGTGATGTCTCTTTTCCTTTGCAGTTTTGTTATAACCAGGATGGCTTGGGTCTGCAGGGCTGCACTCTTTTGCAACATAAATTTATTAGGTGGGCTTGTGAAAATGTACTCTTCGTTCAGACCTAGGGTGATGGTTTTAGACTGAGGTTCCCACCCTTCCTGATAATAGCTTCCAAAATGTCACTCTGTCATCACTGGGGCTCCTTGTGGCCCAACCTTGGGGTGGCTCCTGTAGCAACCTTGAATGAAGACTATGGCATTAGATCATAATCATGAGTCTCCTTAAAGTGGCCGTCCCTGGGGTGGGGGATGGGCCACACAGGCCATCACATAAAAAGAATCATAAAGATCCAGTTTGAGTCTCTCTCTCCTCTTGCCCAAAATTTTATGCCCATTGTAAGTGGCTAAGATCTCTTCCTCCATCTGACCTCTGCACCCACTGGCTCACCGCTTCATGCCTCTATGTCTCTTTTTCTTTATACCTGTCCTCACCCCATGCTACACTTTCCAGGCCAGAGGCCATGGTATCACCTGCTTCTCCCTCCTTCTGGAAACATGTGTGGGCCCCTTGGGAGGTATAAATTTTCTCTCACTCTGACTGGTTAATTTTTCTGTGAAATCCTCAAGGAAACATTTTTTTAAAACAAAATTTTTTCTCTTTCCAGGCAGATGAGAGACTGCGTAGCTGTGGGGAGTGGGATCCTAAGAAGCCCAAGTCTTCCTAGCAGCAAAGGTTGGGTCAGGAAGCAGAACTTGAAATCAGGTTTCATGTGGAAGAAAAACCATAATGCAGGACACTGCTTTTTCACACAGAAACTATACTTGTTTCCCAAGGTGGCCATAGCAAATTACCACGGACTTGGTGGCTTAAACAATAGAAATTTATTCTCTCACAGTTGTGGAGGCCAGAAGTCCAAGAGCAGGATTGGGTCCTTCCAGAGGTTCTGAGGGAGGACCCTTCCTTTCTTGTCTCTCCTCTAGCTTCTGGTAGTTGTGTGAATTCTTCTTGTGTGGATACTGTATGACCTGTGGCGGTTTTTCTGTTGGGGTTGGATTTTTCTTAAGGTTGTGTAAAGTCACGGGTCATGTTAAGGAAGCCACAGAAACTTGTTTCCACTGAGCTACTCTTGCGAGCTACAAGGATTCTTCCAAACCTTCTGTCAAACCTGTCGCTCTCATATTGGAAACTCTTCAGAGTCCCCATTTCCTCAGAATAGAAGCCAGAGCTCCCCACATCTGTGGCCACCTTCCTCTCCCACTCCTGAGTCCCTTTTCTGGACTCCCCTTCCTCACTCAGCTCTGGCCACACTCTTTCTCACTGTTTCCTGAGTCTAGAACATTCTGACCCTAGAGAGTGGCAGCGCTCCTGGTCTATTTCAGTGCGGCCAACCCCATTTAAAATTGCTGCTCCACCTTCCAGCCCCTTCCCGTGTTTCAGTCTGCCCCCTTACCACCTTTTAATACTCTATATGATTTATTTCGTTTCTTGTCCTCTCACTCCATGAAGTTTACTTTTTGGTTTTATTCACTGATGCATCTCCGTACTGAAAACAGTGCCTGGCATGTTGAAGACACATGGCAATATTTTTGGAATGAATCAGTGAATTCAGAATTCAGAAACTAAAAGTTGAGTTTTTTGGAACCCAAGTACAAGATAGGCTCTTCATCCCGTATAAATTCTTTCTCAGTCCGTGAAGCCTATTAACCTCTCAGACCCTGATTCAGTAATAAAATGATACTCCCCATTTGTCTCAGGTTGTGTTCTCTGTAAATTTGTTAAACTGGACTCTCCATACCTCCCATAGGCACTGGTGATGGTAAAAGGAAGGTTGTTCTCTAGATAGAATTCTTTGGTCAAGGCTCTGTACTGCAAGAAAGAAATGCAAAATCCAGCTTATCTTTGCCACCCAGATGCACTGTCTGCATTACTTAGGTCCTATCAGGGAAAGAACTGTGCATCATGCAGTCTAGGCTACTCTTCATCAACCAGCATTGACTCTTTTTTTTATTATGTTAATGTTAATCACCATACATTACATCATTAGTTTTTGACGTAGTGTTCCATGATTCATTGTTTGCGTATAACACCCAGTGCTCCATGCAGTACGTGCCCTCTTTAATACCCATCACCAGGCTAATCCATCCCCCTACCCTCCTCCCCTCTAGGACCCTCAGTTTGTTTTTCAGAGTCCATCGTCTCTCATGGTTCATCTCCCCCTCCAATTCCCCCCCCTTCATTCTTCCCCTCCTGCGATCTTCTTCTTTTTTTTTTTTAACATATAATCTATTATTTGTTTCAGAGGTACAGATCTGTGATTCAACAGTCTTGCACAATTCACAGCACTCACCATAGCACATACCCTCCCCACCAATGTCTATCACCCAGCCACCCCTTCCCTCCCCTCTAGTTGTTGACAAACTTTACGTGGAAGCTTTGTTCTAGTTAGCCCTTAACCTTTTTTTCAGTCACTGTGACTGAAAATTTGTCCATCTTCTGGCACTTTCCTTTCTCCATGATTTTTCAGGTAAAAATTATTCTATTGTAGCAGAGATGTTTTCTTTTTCTCATTCAGTTTGAGATGAAGTCCTAAGTCTCTTTGTGTTTCCTTATATGTGTGTAAAATAAAACAATGCCCTCTGTAGAAAAAAAGTGAAAAAGATCTAAATTTCAAAATTAAGAACCCATATGTAAGATGTAAGATGAGAAATGATTCCTTCTTTTAGAAGTCTGAGAACAAAGGAAGATCCATTCCAGGTTGTATTTAAATGGAGTCTTTCAAGAGCATTTCAGATGATGGTGTGTGAGAGGCCATTCTGAAGTGAATCCAAACTTTTCTGTGGACTCTAAATACGTACTGCATGGAGCGCACTGGGTGTTATACGAAAACAGTGAATTATGGAACACTACATCAAAAACTAATGATGTACTGTATGGTGACTAACATAACATAAAATAAAATAAAATTTAAAAAATAATAATATAAAAAGCAAAAGAAACCCCCCCCAAAATAAATAAATACCTATAAATAACTAGAGATCAAATTAGAAGCAAATCAGAAGCTGTAGTTTTAATTCTTGGCCTATGCCTAAAATTTCAATTTATGCCCTAATAAGCTGGGGAAAGACTAGATTTCATCAGAACTTGCCTTAAAAAAAAAAAAAAAAGATTTGTTTGTTTATTTAAAAGAGAGAGTGTGTACAAGCAGGAAGAGTGAGGGGCAGAGGGAGAGAGACTCTCCAGTAGACTCTGCACTGAGCACAGAGTCCGATGTGGGGCTTGATCTCATGACGCTGAGATCATGACCTGAGCCGAAACCAAGAATCAGATGCTCAAATGACTGCACCACCCAGGCACCCCCAGAACTTGCCTTTAGGACATGAGTGGTCCCTTTTGGAGTTTGGCCTTAGCTTTCATTTGTGGCCAACAATCCTTAACATGGAAACTGCTAAATTAGAGCATTTTCTGAAGTTTACATCATCTTTTGAGGAAAAAAAAAACAAACACCTAAATAATGGCCACATAAATCTTGTTCTATACAGAAGATGATAAAGATAATAGGAAAGTGAAATGGTGAATTTGGAAGTCAGCTGGAAAGGATTGTTTGAAGCTAAATAAAAATGCCTTTTGTGGAACTCTTCTATAAAATAAAGAATTTAGTTAATATAATTATTTGACTTTAATAGGATTAATTTATGGGGAAAACGGAAACCAAAGACCTCACCCATTGACCTCCGTCGCTCTCTCTGTCTGCTCTATGAGGCATGGAGGAGCGAGGGAGAACAAGCCAGGGCACCTGGTGGAGGCAGCAGAGCCCAGCCTGGACTTCAGCTCCAGGCACTTTCCTAGACCCTGACAGGGGCCCAGCAGGTGACAATTCTGAGACCCCCTCCCTTGGCATGTTTCATCAGGAATTGGTGATCATGCTGTCTTTACTGTTTACCTTTTACTGTTGGCTCCTTTTCTTGTCTTCCGCCTGGTTTCGTTCTCTGCTTTTGGCTTCTTCCCTGCCTTTGCTGGCTGTTCTTTTCTCTCCTGATTTCTGTGTGCCTGGGGCACCTCTCATCTTGGTATTCCATGGGACAGCTTCTGCCTAAAGAACAAATAACTCTAGAGCTTGCCTGCCCAATTTCGAACCTAGACTCCGAGACTTAGAAGCTGGGTAACCATGGAAACTGAGTTACTTTCTGTGTGCCTCCGTTTCCCAATTGAGAATTAAAATGGTTAATAAGGTGCTTGGATCAATATCTGGCAAGGAATCAATGTCAATTTTCACCATTATTTTGCCTCACTAGGGAATGTGTTTTATGGGCAGTGGCCTCAACTGAAGGATTTGGACAGGACATGGACATAATAAGCATGCATGCCTGGGGGTACATGTGAGTAGGGACCTCAGGTCCTTGGTATCTTCTTGGAATGCAAAGAACTCTCCACATTGGAGTTGTTTCTAGGTTACCCTAAAGCCGAGCCCAAGACAAGGGAGCAGGCCGGAGGGGCTGGGAGAGTGAGCAGGACAGGATGAAGAATCCCTACCAGAGTGTAGCAAGGTTGGCACTGTGGGCAGTTGGGGCTTGATTGCCCAGGATGAGCTCAGAACTGATGCCACTGAGTGTTATGCCCAGGAGTGTCAACTCTCTTGTGTTTGAGGAGACCACATATGCTTGCACGGTAGAGGGGACCCTCCTGCAGAAAGCAGAGACACATGGTGGACCTGAGCTGGGCTGCTGTCAGCCCTGGGCAACCCTGTCTGCCCACCCCATGTTCAATGCTTTCTCAACCTCATGTTCTTCTCTCAGATATTAGAATATTGTGTATTTTTAAATATGATATGTAGCATTACGTTTAAAAGAATTATATCTTGGTGCTTTAAAAAGTGCCTTCTTCCTCAGGAATTCATCTTCTATTTATTTATTTTTAAAAAAATATTTTATTTATTTATTTGAATGAGAGAGAGAGAACCTGAGCAGGGGGAGGTGCAGAGGGAGAAGCCAGCTCCCTGCTGAGCAAGGAGCCTGATGCAGAACTCGATCCCAGGACCCCGGGATCATGGCCTGAGCCAAAGGCAGATGCTTAACTGACTGAGCCACCAAGGTGCCCCAGGAATTCATCTTCTGAATAAAACTGGGTAATTCCTTTTTGTGTGTGTGTCTTAAATGTATACAAAGCAAATAACACGTATCCCTTAATTTATATGGCATTTGTTTTAGTTTATATCCAAAAGTTGATTTTGTCCTAAACTTCATTTTCTATTTTGAATAGGTAATATATTAATATATTTATAGTTTAGAATTTCTGAGCGTAACAAAGTCTAAGTTGAGGATTCCTATTTCCATCCTGTTCCAGTCTACCCTTCCCCTATCCCTCCTACGCCCAATTATTTTATTCATTTCTTGTGGAAACCTGCTAGTGTTCCTTTATGATCAGGGTTCCCTGGAGAAACAGAACCATTGTGTATGTGTGTGAGTGTGTGTCTGTGTGTGCACACACGTATGCATATATACATATATATGTATGTATGTATTTATAAGGTGGGGGGAGAGAGAGAGATTTATTTTAAGAAGTTGGCTTAGGCAATTATAGGGGCTGGCAAATCTGAAATCTGGAAGACAAATCAGCAGGCTGGAGAGTCAGCTAAATGTTGATGTTGCAGTCTTGAGACCA